CCTTGGAGGTCTTCTAGTCCAACCCCCTGCCTAGGCAGGAAACCCTATACCGTTTCAGACAAATGGCTATCCAACATCTTCTTAAAGACTTCCAAGTGTTGGGTTACATTCTGGGTGCTTGGCAAACTGTTCACATTTATGACTGGTTGCCAGGCGCCCCGTGATGACTCTTCGCAATCTTCTCAGCTAGCTTCCCCAGAAAGTCATTGGGGAAGCCAACAGGGAAGGTTACAAGTTGCTGCTGCCTGCTGAGAGAACTCTGTCTTGCCTCTGGGAGCTGGTTGTAGTAGCTGTCTACCAAGGGGAGTTGAACTCTTTTGGTGGGGTGGAGAAAAGGAGCTCCAATCCTGAAGATGCCAGCTCTGTTTCTACAGCCCCCTAGACAGAGGTGGATTCCTACTGGTTCAGACCAGTTTGGCTGAGTAGGTAGTAACTCGGCCTGCCACACTCCTGAACTGGTTTTCTCGGCAGGGTCATAGGCACTGACATCTTGTTTTTTGCTTCTGTGCATGCGCACAAGCATTTTTTAGTACTGCGCATGCACGTGCATCCCTGAGCGAACTGGCAGTACCAGCAGCCGGAACCCACCCCTGCCACTAGAGCAGTTCGTTTCTGCACACTAAGGGGAGACTAATTTCTTTGGCGGGATGCAGAAACAGAGTTTAGATCCTGAAGATTCGAGCTCCATTCCTGCAACTCACTGTAATAGTTTCTTCCCATGGGAGTTGAATTCAGCAGGCAATTATTTTGCTCCATTTAACAACCCAGGAGATCACTTAAAGACCACAACCGGGAATGCTGGGATTGCAGTCATTGAGTGACGCAGTCACGTGGGCCTCTTGCTTAACGACCTATTTTGTTCATCAACCAAGGTTTCAGTCCCGATTGTGTTGGTAAATTGAGGACTACCTGTAGCCCTAAAACATCGGAGGATGAGTAAAATATTTAAACTACTGCATTGCCACAATAACTAACTAGACCATATATGATATGCTCTGAGATAACTTAAAAAGTTGTAAGTTAAAATTTTTAAATGAGTTTTAATTTTTTGAAATAAAAAAAAATGGGAAAGAGCATATTAGTCAAATATAGTGGTTCTCCGGGTGTTTGTTTATTTATGTTTAAACAGAACAATAAAACAGTGCAGATTTAAATCAGCATTGGAAGACTGCCTTCCCCCTTGGCATGGTTTTTCGTAAGAGGATCGCTTCTTATACAACAGTGCCCTCCAGTGCTTTTTTGAGGGGGGGGGGGTCCTTTAGACACGTTGTTTGTCAGTCAACTGGATAAATTAATTCTAATACACAAATAAACAGCTTGGGTGGTCATTACCTATTTCCAAGTGTGTTATTTTGTGAGCAGCTGTGGGTATTTCTAACTTAGAGCACCAGTTCTTTAACACAACAGGTGAACAAGGTTCTAAGAGATGAGAGGCCAGGTGGCATCAAAACTCTGTGGCTTTTGAGATAGTATTTTTTCGGTTGCAGCTCCAGTTCTCGGGAATTATGAAGTTCGGTATCACCTGAAGATCACAGGTTTCGGTTTAATTTATATAGGCGCACACAGAGAATGTACAAGACAAATAGTGATTCTCACAGTGAACAATGAACACATGGTTTCTGCCAAGATCTGGTACAGAATCAGAATCAGTCAATAAATTTTGGTAGAGCAGAAACCAGAGAATGAGTTTTTGTTCCATTACATAGGGATGGATGCATTTACTGGAACATGCCACAGGGTTTTTTAATGGCAGAGAAAGTTGTCATCCGTCTGTCACAGTGTGCTTTGTGCAGTAGTTGTTCTTAAAACTCGTGCTTCCCTAGGCAACCATTTGAATTTCTTGTCAAGAAATCAGTCCTGATAATTTATTATGCTGAGTTTTTTCATAATCATTTTTTTAATTGAATGAGTCTCAGAATATATCATAGTGTTGTTGTAAGTTGATTTCATTGAGGGCCACGTTAAGGGTTGTGTTTGACTTTGGGGGGGCAGGGTGGGTGTGGCCAGCTCAATGTCACTCATGCTGGGGGTGCCTGTGAAGACCCAAGCGCTCTGCCAGTGAAAACGGAGCTTGGGAGTGCTGCCTACGGCCCTTGCGAGCTCCATTTTCAGTTGCAACGGCCTCCTGCAACCCTCTGCCAGCGAAAACAGAGCTCAGGAGAGCTGCACACAGCCCTCCCGAGCTCCGTTTTCACTGGCAAAGGCACCACGGACTGGTCCGTCGCTGTTTCCAGGGTAGCCCCGTGAGCCAGATGTAAGCACCCATGGGCTGGATCTGGCCCCCAGGCCTTGAATTTGACAGCCCTGATGTAGAGTTTAAATGCTACATGTGTCCTTCACTTTTCCCCTTGCATTGTACTGTGTAGGTATTGTATTGTATAAATGAATTAATTGCTAACAAGTATGTATCAAAACATTAATCAATTTGCAAAGACTAAACTCTTCAAGGCTGATTAGTCATGTGTTGGAAAACTACTTGCATGTTTTATTATTAACATGGTTTCAAAGAAATTAAAACTATATTGCCATCTGAATACATTGTACAGGTAGTGTTCAACTTTGTTGTTTAGCGATGGTTCAAAGTTACAATAACCCTGGAAAAAGTGACTTACAGCTTGTATTTGCACCTGCAATTCTCACAGCACCCCACTGATGTGGTCAAAATTTGGGGATATGCTGATTTGTATGTATTTATGGAGGGACGCGATGGCTCAGTGGCTAAGGTGCTGAGCTTGTTGATCAAAAAGGTCAGCAGTTTGGTGGTTCGAATCCCTAGCGTCATGTAACAGTGAGCTCCTGTTACTTGTCCCAGCTTCTGCCAACCTAGCAGTTCGAAAGCATGTAAAAATGCAAGTAGAAAAATAGAAACCGCCTTTAGTGGGAAGGAAACAGTATTCCGTGCGCCTTTGGCATTTAGTCATGCCGGCCACATGACTACGGAGAGGTCTTTGTATAGTGCTTGTTCTTCAGCTTTGAAACCGCCCCCTAGAGTTCGGAACAACTAGCACATATGTGCAAGGGGTACCTTTACCTTTACGTTATGTATTTATGATGGCTGCAGTGTCCCAATTGCAATGTCCTAGGGGGTCGCCATTTGCGACTTTCCCAAACAGCTTCTGACAAGCAAAGTGAATGTCAAGCAGAATCACTTAACAACCATATTATTAACTTAACAACTGCAAGTGATTCACTTAACAACCATGGGAAAAAGATTGTGAATTGTGTGCCATTTACTTAACAATCACCTTGCTTAACAATAGACATTCTGGTCTTGATTATGGTTATAAGTCAAGGACTACCTTTATAGGTTAGCTTAACAATGGTAACTGGTACTGAAAATTTTGTTGTTAAGCAACACTGTCATAAATAGAAAAACCTTGTGTTTGTGCCACTTAGTGCTGCCAGTTCGGTAGTCCAGGTTACCATCATTTAGCAAGGACCTTAAGTCATTAAGTGAGGATCTCGTCTTACTGCTACTTGTGATTTCTTGCTGTCTTCCAATTGACATTACTTGGCAACTTTATGATGGGTGGAGATCAATTTCCAGAATTACACACATACCCAGCCATGCTTCAAGTTGCCAAGTTTATGCGTAGCAAAAGAAGTGTTAAATGTAGATTTGATTTTCTTACCGAATGGTTCTGCAATTTGTGAAGTGTGTAGACTGCCCCTGTGCCTGGTCACTGTAAAAGGGTTATTGTTCCCTCTACAAAGGAAAGCACCAGAATTAATACAAAAATTCAAAGCGGATTAGTTTATTATGCCAGGGAAGGTATTTGGAAGAATTTTGATCAAAAGAATGTGAAGAATAACAATGGGCAAAATATGGGAAGTTTTATGTTGAGCAGGGGAAGTACAGAAGAGTGTTTTGCTCTTTGGTAAATTTTTGAAAACAATATGAATGTGATAAATTTGTTGGATTTTTGATGTGTTAAATAAAACATGACTATCCTTGTTTCGCACAAATGGGGATTTGAAAATTACTATCAAATGCAGTAAGAACAATATATGAGGGAAGGAAAGCACATGTGAGAATAAACAGGAAGATTAGGAAATAGTTTTAATATTGAATAAGGAGTAAGGTAATATGTAATGTCCCCTTGGTTATTTTATGTCTCTGCACTGCTTGAGATGATGTTAGAGATGTTTCATTTGGAAATGTGTATTTTTCTAGGCAGACGAAGCTGTATTGTTGGCTAATACCCAAGTGATTCGCGACAAATGTTGGGTTGTATAATGTAGTAAATATGGATTTGAAGTTTACTGTACTCAAGAGATTTGTGCTTTAAGGCAAAAATGGATTAAAATTATCCATAAATGGCAAAAGATTACTACAGAGGAGAAAGTGTAGAAATTTCAGGGAATGTTAATGGCAATAGAAAAGAATTGGGTAGCCCAATTTGTTTCAAGGAAACAGTATTTGTTGAAAAAAGTGAAAATGTGTCCCTTTGGGCAGATGGAAGTGAATGTTGGCTAGATCAAGGATGAATGGGTATAGACTAAATGTCGATTGAATATAAAAATGAATGACTAATATGAAAAAGATGAGGTTCAAATTATGAAATGAAACATGTAAAGGAAGAGCAAATAAGCAGCGGAAGACAAGGTCACCGTTGGATAGAGTTTATCAAATTCCTTCCAAATAAGGAGGCGAGACTTAAAAGGCAGTGAAGTTGTATATGGATGTTGAACAACGAAGGATGGTTTGCAGGAACAGAAATCTTTGGGGAAGTATAATGATTGTTTTGATGTAAACTAGACTTAGTTGCATTTCCCTTTTTTACCTCAGGCTTTTTAATTTCCTATTTTTATTTATTTATTTGTTTATTTCTTGCCCTTATTGTTTTTGAAAATAACTCAAAGCCGTTAACTTTGTCACTTTGTTCCTGTTATTTTCCCTACAACAACCCTGAGGTAAATTGGGTGGAGACAGTGTAAATGGCCCAAAGTCACACTGCTGCCTTTCATGGCTAAGGGAAGTCTTGAACTCATGGCGTCCTGTTTTCCAACCCAGTGCCTTAATCACTGGCTCTGTAGACCAAACCAGCTCTTTTAACTTCTATTCATCTATCAAACTAATACTATTAATTTTTGTTCCTTCCTCCTTGTCTGCCCTTTGAATAACATTGCTTACCTTGAAAGGGAAGAGAAAGACATATAGTTGCCTCAAACTAAGAGGCAGGTGGCAAATAAATTTAATTATAATAATATTCAATGAAAATGCTGTAACTATTAAGAATGAAAATGCTTATTTCTATTTTCTAGGTACTTTGGAGAAAATCTGCAAGTTAAAACAGAGAAACCTGAGGCAATTGCTTTAATTCAGAGAGCAACAGAAGGGTTAATCGAGTCCATGGAGAAGGAAGGAATAGATCAAGTGATGGAATGGGAAGTAGATGAGATGTTAAAGTGGACAAATGCATTGAATTATGACGAGTAATGGTTTTAAAGTTCATATTTCATTACTTTTCTAAATCTTCTTGTTTTAAAATTATCCATTTTTAGCTTTTGAGTTCTACTATCAATTTATATTAATAAGTTAATCATTTAGTCTTTCTTTCATGCATAGCAGGGGTGGGTTTCTCGCCCCGTTTCAACCGGTTCGGTTGGAACGAGGCCGGTGGTGTCCCCGCGCATGCGCGCGGTGCGCGCATGCGTACTAGTGTCTGCGATGCTCCAGCTGCTCCTGGAGGATCGCGCAGGTGCTGTATGCGTCCTGTGCATGCGTGGAAGCGCAGAATTCGGCAAAACTGGGTAAGGAGCGGGCGCGCGGGCGGGGCCCTTCGCCGTTCCCGGAAGTTACTTACTTCCGGGTTCGGCGACCAACTGGATCGCGGGGACCGCTGCGAACCGGTTGAAACCCACCCCTGATGCATAGGTACCAATCATATCACAAAATATATAGGAGAGGGAAAGAGAGAGAGAAGCAGTAATATAGGACATTATTTAATAAAAGCTTTTCTGTAACACCTCTTGCACACCTTTTGTTACTCTTATTGTTTCACCTTTGTTTTGTTTTTGCAATTTGGATATTTTTAATTCTTACTGCAATTTTTAGTGTAACACTAACTTCTGAGAGTTGGGAGATTTAAGCGTTTAAGTGTGTGTGTGTGTGTGTGTTTATATATATATATATATATATATATATATATATANTACAATATTATCTATGGATAAATACCTTGAATTCAGTTTTCCATTGTAAATGGTTTAAAAATATATTTGTGTTTTTATGAAACAGTTGGTTTTATTGTATATTCATTTGTATGTTTATTTTTAGCTTTCCAGTTTAATCAACAACACTATAACGTTTCTGAATTGATACCAAAGAAAATCGAAGAAATAATGCAATCTCACATAATGTAGACTAAAAGAGATGCTTATTATCAACTCACTTTAATAAGTGCAGAAGAAAAAAAATAATATATCTGACAACTGAACATTCATCAATCACAACAGTATCAATAATCAAATAGAAACCCGGTATAAAAAGTTGGAATCTATGCATTTGTCAAGTTAATGTTCCGTAACATATTAACATAAAATGTAATGAATGTAAAGAAATTTGAAATTAAAGTTATTTAGTTTCCTATTTTGTGATAAATGACACGTCTGTTGTAATACACACAATTAATTCTCCAAGATTTATTTTTAATCATTTTTTTAAAATTCTGATGAACTTAAGGTATTACATATAAGTGAGCAAAGATATGGAAACAACACAGGTAGTGATAACAGAAGAAGGTCCCTGCTGAAGTTTGGCATCAATCTATTAAACAACCTGAACGACCATGTGTTTCTGTGTTTAGCCATTACCAAAGCAATTATACTGTAGTTGGAATGTTAGTTAAAAGGTAAGGGGCTCCCAAAGTGAATGAACTTTTTCTCATTCAGAGAGGAAAGGGATTGAGTTTAAAGGAGGCACTGATTGACATTAGAAGTAGATAGAGTGCATATAAAAACTTATGGACTACTGTGTGGTAAAAAGTCTTGTTCTAGCCTGAGTTTATTTCTTGATCATATCCTGACGAGGCAACCTTCTGTAGCATAAAATTCCTATGGATTCTCAGAAAATGTACTGTTTTGTACATATGTATGAATTTATGTATTCTGCATGTTTGTGTTTGCCTTACAATTGAGACAATTCCCCACACAACCGTGAAAGTTATAAAGATATTGCTCTGCATAAAAATGTCTTTCTGTCTGTCTATCTATCTGCTACCTAGCTACCAGTGCTGGGATACGACCGATATGCCCCGGTACGGGTGTACCGGTTCCTCCTGGGAGCACCAGGTACCGTTCCGGTATGGTGCTCCGGAGGGTCCACCTGCTCGCCCACCCGCGCTCCTTACCTGTATTTGAGCAAAAAATCAGTAGCAGGAAATTTTGAGCATTCAAGGCTGTCTCTACTGAAATATTAGCTTTCCCACCCTGTCAGCTACAATATGAATATGAATTCACCACATACCAATTTAAAGGCAAACAGACAAAATTCTTCCATTCTTTTTATAGCTCACTATGGCTTTATGCACAAATGAATATGCAAGAGAAATGCATGTTCAAAAGAATTTGGCTTTATTGTATATTTTAAAAGGCACTTTTTAGGACCTCAACCATATCAATACACAAACAGCAAAGCAAATAAAAAAATACTTCCACATGAATAATTTCTCAAGAAAAAAAGCATGTACTTATAACAGTGTTTACAATATATTTTAAGTTTCTTCAGTAACTTCCTCCAGGTTCCAAAGTGCACATACAAATTACAACAAAAAAGATTAGCTTATTACTGAACTAAATTGAATCAATAATGAAATGTAAAATAAGTCTATCTTTTCCATGATATAGAACAAGATTACTGTACTATTTGGATATAGGAATTTCTTGCTAGTATAAACTAAAACTGTTACTGGAATTATTCTGTTTGTAAGAAATCTATATTCACATTCACGTGTAAAAAAAGGGGGGGGGGTAATTCTCCCCTCCCCTCATTATTATAGCATAAAGTAGGATAGATTATGCCACTTTGTCAAGCCAAAGAACTACACTCTTTAGTAATAATGAAAAGTAGTGCGCTAGGTAGCACTATGCAATTATTTCTGATTGTACGTGTTATTGTGAATTCCTACTTTTTTTGAAATGTCTTCAGAACCACATACATTATATATATTGTATAAACCGTATTTTTTGGAGTATAAGATGCACCTTCCCCCCCCAAGAGTGTGGAAATATTGTGTCTTATACACCGAATATAGCCATTTTTGACCTCCCGAAGCACTGCCTGCATCCCATTTTTGTGAACAATGGGCCATTTTTCGCATAAATTGATGCGTTTTTGCCTTCTTCCAGCCCCTAGCAACACTCTGCAAGCTTCAGCAGGGCTAGGAGAAAGCAAAAATGCTCCTGTTTTTGCGAAAAATGGGCAAAAAATGAGTCATTTTTTTTAAAAAAAACGGAGGCGTTTTTGCCTTCCCCCAGCAGCATTCTGCAGGCTTCAGTAGGGCTGAAGGAAGGCAAAAATGCCTCTGTTTTTGGGAAAAGCAGCCCATTTTCTGCCTGATTTTCACAAAAATGGAGGCATTTTTGCTTTACCCCAGCCCTCCTAAAGCCTGCAGAGTACTCCTGGGGGTCAGGGAGGACAAAAGCTGTTTTCTCTTACCTCTTCGAAATCTTGATGCATATTATACACCAGTGCATCTTATACTCTGAAAAATACGGTATATACAAATTGTATATAAATACAATTTCCTGTTATCCATTTTTTAGAAAACCTACAACTTTATATATAATATAAATGAGAAATCCCTAAATATTTATATAGCAGGATGCACAGCATCATCTTTAACATGCATGGATGATGCACGTTTTCATCTTGAGTACATTCTCTCGTCTAGGAGAAAGGAAACTGGCCGTTTTGCAGGCAGGCTTGATGTCAGTTTGATCATTTTAAAAGTAGTAGAAAATAAGAACTACTATGCTCCAGTAACATTCTTAAACCAAACAAGGAGTGGGGCTTATGAAAAATATTTTTCTTTTGTTAAAGCAAATTGTAATATTGTTAATTTCCTGAAATTCTTGTCTGAGGGTGAAGATCTGGAAGACATATTCCTAGTTATACCAATGCAAGCAAAAGATCTATCTATCTATCTATCTATCTATCTATCTATCTATCTATCTATCTATCTATCTATCTATCTATCTATCTATC